GCAGTCGTCGCGGCGCGACCGGGCCTCGGCGGCGGCGGCCTCGGCGCGCTCAAGCGCGGCCTCGGCGTCTTTGCGGTTCCGCGCGGCCTTGGCGGCGGCGGCCTCGGCCTTGGCGCTCTCTCGAACGCAGTCGTCGCGGAGCGACCGGGCCTCGTCCACGGCGGCGTCGGCGACCTTGAGCTCGGCCTCCGCCTTACTGGACCCGTTCGCCGTGAGCGTTTGCAGCGCATCGACGGCCCGCTTCTTGACGCTGGGGCTGCCGTCGCGCGAAAGCTTCACCAGTAGCGGGATGCCGCGGATCTCGGCGTTCGAAAGTTCGGTTTTGTCGTCCATGTCGAGGCGTCGCAGTGCTTGCCTGGTGTGGTTTTTCAAGGCGCCGAGGTAAAGGCCGCGCGCGCGGTCCAGAAGCAGCGGGATGGCGTCTGCCACGACGAGCGCGATCTTGGCCTCGTCGTTCGAGGAGAGGTTGCAGAGCGCTCCCGCGGCCTGAATCGCGCCGCCGCGCCGGCCGCAGACTCTTTCGCGCAGGATATCAACAAGCACGTCGATGCCTCCGGCCTCCACGATCTTGACCTTGTTTTCGTCGTTGAAAGAGAGGTTTAATAACGCGCACGCGGCCGTCAACGCGCCGCGGCCGCCCTCGCCCGCGACAGAGATGAACACCTCGATGCCTCCGGCCTCCGCAATCTTGACCTTGTTTTCGTCGTTGAAAGAGAGGTTGAGTAACGCGCCCGCGAAAATCTCCATACCGCGGCCGCCGTCGCGCGCGACAGAGATGAGCACTTCGATGCCTCCGGCCTCAGCGATGGCGAGCCCGTTTTCGTCGCTGTTACAGGCGATGTTCATGAGCGCGCCCGCGGCCGACGCCTTCGCGACGTCGCTGCCGTCGCGCGCGAGGGCGACGAGCTGCGAGATGACTCCTTCAGCCACCATCGATTCTTTCGCCGCGTCATTCAGCGCGAGGGGCCGCAGTGCGTTGGCGGCCGATGCCTTCCCGTCGGCGCTGTTGCCGCCGAGAAGTGCGACGAGCCCCTTGACGGCGCCCGCAGCCACGATCAAAGCTTTGTTCTCGGAGCTCTGCGACAGCCATGCCAACGCATCGGCGGCCTGCTTCATGGCCCCGGCTTTGCCCTTGCCGCGGCGCGCGAGGGTCTGGACGTGCGCCGCGATCTCTTGACGAATATCCATGCTTCGCCGACGCGATTGTTGCCGCAGAATTGGATCGCCAGCCCCCATGGCCTATGGCATGGGTCGCACGACAAACAACGTGTACCACTCCCCCCAAGAACCTAAAACCCCACCCGTTACCCCGCGGCCGGCGCCGCGCACTCGAGCTCGACGCCGCCGGAGGGGAGCGCGCGCGCGCAGCAGCCCGGCGCGTCGCGCGACGGGCGGCACGGCGCGTCGTAGCGCGCGCGCCGCTCCGGGTCGCCGAGCGTCTCGCGGGCGGCGTCGAGGACGCGGCCGCGCTGCTCGAGGGCGGCGACGGGCGCCCGCGCGCGTTCCAAAGCCGCGTCGGCGGCGGCGCCGGCCGCGTCCGCGGCCGCGAGCTTCGCCTCGGCCGCGAGCCGCAGCTCCGCCGCGTCGTCCTCGAGGCGCTCGGCGCGCGCGAGGAGCGGCGGCACGGCCTCGAGCTGGACGCAGGACGCGCGGATCGACTCGGCGAGGGACGCCGCGGCCGGCGGGCCCTCGACGTCGAGGAGCGACCGCCGGTCCGTCCACC